ATGGAATACAATACGATGCGAAAAAAGATACTAGTTCATTCTTAAAAGTTATTTAGGTGTGATGAATAAGTTTAATAGAATAGTTATAAACCTAAAAATGTGCGAAATACGGATTAGAATATTTATTAGGTTTGACAAAAACGAGCCAAAACTTTATGTCGTTACAACATAAAGATATAAACGAATAAAATATCGATCGAAGAGTGAATTAAATATGAAAATAAATAAAAAAAAAGTATAAAAAATCTTTTTAATACATTTTGATACCGCTTTGTCAAAAATGTGATAACTTGTTAATACGATTTTTTAGTAAAATAATTTGTTACTACAATTTTATTTTCTAAATTTGATTAAGTAAATTTGCGAAAAAATATGGTAGGAATCTATTCAATAGAAACATTGTTATCATTAGTATTTTGAGAGTTCAATTTACGCATCAGAACTTTTCTATAATATTTATAAATAAGATTTTGTTTATTTAGGTGTTCCAAGTTGTGCTAAGGGTCTTTTTATAGAGCACCGCGTAACAGTATTTATTTCACGTTTTCTTAATTACTAATCTTGCATACACGAGCCGTCATCGAACAACGATAGTTTACAGTGATTATCCAAGTCATATTTTAAAAATCCGGTAAACAGTTGTGTAAATAATAATTGAATCTTCAGTCAAAGAATTAGCCGGTTACTTATATGGACACTTGTCCAATCCTAAAACGATCAAAATGCCATGCTTTATTTTCGTTTATTCTGACGAAAATGATTTAAAAAAGTAAATTAACGTGAAAAATAATCACCTAAAAGACTTAATTTTCGCTGATATCTTTCTGTTGTAATTAACATGTAAAATAATTGAACGGCATTATTACGAGCGCTTTCTTATCTTTGCCTTAAGGTGTAATGATTTGTTTTCCCTACATTCAATATGGTTACTTTTGTTGCGTAATAAGTCACGTCATTAGATGGATAGTGATCAAACTTTCTGATTTTTGTGACCTTGCTATAATGAAGGAAAGAATGGCAAAAAAAATAAAAGCTGGATTTGCTGGTTTAACTATAGCTTATCTTTCTCCTAAAATTTGCGATTGAACTGTAAATATAAAGAGTCAGATATTTATGCCATGTCATTATCTTTTTACGTCAGGATTAGAATTTCATGTCAGGATTAGATTCACCGTGGCAAAATCATTTTTCTGTTTATAAAGATATTTTTTTAACTCAAGCTCTTAAAAAAGGAGAAAGACCAGATACAAGTCTTATTTCACAAATATTTTTGGAGTCTGACACAAGACACGTTGTTGAAACTATTGTTGGAGGATGGTGCAATTATCCAGAATTGCGATTAACTTGTGTCCAGGTATCTTTAACTTTTTTATTCAAGATTTTGAAACTTCAAAATAAAAAAAAATAACTTTACATTTGTATGTATTTGTAACATTTCTCTTTTGTTTTTTCTAATTGAATATAAAAGCAATTATCTGATTTAATAATATTATATATATATATATATATATATATATATATATATATATATATATATATATATATATATATATATATATATATATATACATATATATATATATGTTTATATATATATATATATATATATATATATATATATATATATATATATATATATATATATATATATATATATATATATATATATATATATATATATATATATATATATATATATAGCCCTCTAAATCAGGGTCAGCAATTCCGACCTAACTATATATGTTAACAGTATATTTTTAATGGTGAAACCTTTGTCATAAAGGTTCACCATAAAGTTTATGAGTACAAAGTTTGTCAATAAATGAATTTTTTAACCTGATGCCAACCTTAAGTTTTAACCTGACCCCAACCTTAGTTTAAGGTGTGCAATTTTTTTGCCGAATATAGTTTTTCTAATACCAATGTTTGTATATATGTAGTCAAGATTATATACTTATGAACTTATAAATAATGATTTTTCTTATTTTGTTTTAAAAAAGTTATTATCTTTTAGATTATTGGTAGATTAAAAGAAATAGTAATGGTATTTAATTATTTTAAGAACTTAATGAAACTTATATAACTTCATTATTCATTATAGCTATATAAGTCACTTATTTGTTAAATTATTTTGTAGTCATATGGCTTTTGAATTTCAGAATATGTCATTGAAAAATTCCGGCAATGAAGAAGTGTTTAAAATTTTAAAAGAGCCTTTATTTAAGTAATTTTAATATAAATTTATATATATATTTTTTCAATTATTTTATATAACCTATAAAATATTATATTTATTTAATAAATAATCATAAATACTTTGTTATAAAGTTATGATATGTTATGAAATGTTTTATTTTTTAGATTTAAAGAATGTGCTAAATGTTTAAAGTTCCAGGTATGATTTATTTATTTTTTGTTTTTTAATTTTAAAATTTTTCACTTTCAAGTTTTGGAGCCATCTATTAGGTACATAGGCAGGTATGGGGGAAGGGGAGCGTTTTTCCAAAAGCATGCGAACATCTACAAGGGGGGAGGGGTGTTAAAGAATTTAATTAATTAGTTAAATACATGCATTTTCACTTAAATTTTGGAAATTATTTTTTTAACTAAGGTTTTTAAACTATTTTTTCATAGAATGTAAAAAATATTTAATTTAAATCTTGACCAGTTTTTAGTTTATGATATAGTTTATAAGTTTTTAGTTTATAAATCATAATATTCATCATCATTATCATCATCATCATCATCATTATCTTCATGTTGAGCTCCTAAAAATTTCAAAATTTTTCTCCATCATTAAAGAGGAGGGGTGGGGGTGGGGTGGCTACTACAAACTGAAAATTTTTTAATAATTTTTAAGGCGGGAGGAAGGATTGACTTAATTGTTATTTTCTATTGTAAATCTTTATGAATTATTTTGTCCTAATTATATAGTTAAGAGAAATAATATATATGTATATATTATTTGTATGATTTTTTCATATATTATTGTTTACTTTTATTAAAAATTTGGACTGAATAAACGATAATATTTAAAGAAGATAAATAAAAATAAAAAATCCGACCCGGGCTAGTCACCCCTGCAAACTGTGTTTATTTAGCCGGGTTCGGGTTTGTGAAAAGCTCTGCTTTTAGCCCTGTCAAAGCTCATTTTAGATCATTGATTCTTATTTTAACTTTTTAATTTAATAATTTTTTTCTTAGATAAAATTGTTTATAAAAATATGCACAAGTATTTTTTTATTTCATGATGAGAATGTTAAAACTAGTAATGAAGAAGACCAGAACATACCAGTTTGTTTACCTAACTTAGCATTTATATTAATTCAATTAATTTTATCTGCATAATTTAGATAAAGATTTAATAGACACAGAATTTAAAATTTATAATTTAAATAAGACACAGACTGGGAAATAAAGGTTTTGATCTGTATTTAATAAAAATATTTACATAACAGGAATATAGTTGTTAATTATATTTTTATAATTCATTTAAATGTACAGACAAGTTTAAAGTTTAAAGGCTCTGTACAAACTGTGGATGAAGTTTTAAAAAAAAATTCAGTTCGTATAAGGGTTTCCAATCAGTTTTAACCAAAAACCGAAAGCAGCGGTTTTAAATATATATTTACTATAGAAAAGTATTAAAAAAATCCAATTTCTAAGTAACTATATTTTCACTAGATTATTTAGATCTTTATATGTATAAAAAAATGTATAGGAATATTATTTTCTCCATAATTTTTACTTGATACTGATTTAGATTTCATATTTTCATGTTTTTTTCCTAATTTTTTTTAATAATAATATATAAATTTTATTTCTAACATTTCTAATACCTTAATATCTAATATTTTAAGTCTAATAATTAGGTTTTATGTCTTTTTATTTTGAGTATGACAGTCAAAATTTCAGTTTTGAATCAGTGAAGGATGCGATTATTGACTACACTGAAATTTTATTGAATGTACGGAAAGTAGTGAAATCCAAATTTTATCAGTTTGCAATCAGATTTTTCCGAAAAAACTTACTTAGGAATATGATAATAAAATAGAACAGCATCTGCATGTTGTCATTGTTGGAATTCAAATTTTTTAAAAAACTAAGAAATCTTTATTCCAGACATTTACTGAATTGCATACTCTAACTGAAATGCTTCACGGTTTGTAAATTTGGGACACTAATATCAATGAAATACCCTATGAAAACCCTTTTAAGGGGGGATAGTACATAACAATGGATGGCCATACAGAGTGATTTTGAAATCCTGCATTAACATCCAATGGAGATTTTTTACCTTGAAGTTTTGAAGAAAATAAGAATTTTAAGCAACATTTGGCAGCCTATTTGTAGTACAAAAATACATTTCTGATTTTTTATCATAAAACAAAAAATGTTAAAAACATAAATTAGGAGCTTTTTTATTTTATTCATTTATTTTCTTAATGATCGCATTTAGAAGATAAACAACAATTTCTATAATTCCATTAAAAATTATAATGCTCTCTAGAGACGAATCATCTGGAACAAAATGAAGGCACTAAAATATCACAAATCTGTTAAGAGTATTCTCAGGATTTTTTTAACACTGTTCTTTAGATCTAGATTTTCTTGCTGTTGTATTCGATCACACACTTCAGGAGTTGGCTGGCATAGTCTGGATGTGAGGAATCTCGTTTGTATCTCTCCCAATGAACTTTGAAATTGGAGTGCAGAACTTCTGTTGCCTGCTCACTAAAGAGACCCAATCCTGTTTTCTTGATTTTGATGAACTGAGGTACATGGTAAAACACTGCATGTACTTTTGGAGTAACTGAAATGGGTAGGCGGATGTAGCTTTGTTTGAACTTGGAGATCTTCGATTCATAATCAGGAATTATTGCCAAAGCAAGAAATGACCACATCCTTAAATAGTGCAAGTGTTTGCATGAAGTCATGAGCTTGATTAAAATTGTTGTATCCTGTGACCAATTGCAACTTGTCTAAATCTCTCAAGAGCTTCATGCAGTCATTCCATTGAAATGTCCACCATGGTAGGGCTGAATAGGAATATGAAGTGAAGCTGGCCATTCCTCGGCCCCTTGCCAAATTTTGCAAAGATTTTTATACAAATGCTTTACTACTCCAAGTAACAAATTGAGCTCCATTGGAGGGATAGCTTCAAGCACAAGCTTGTGATCAGGAAAATCAACCAATGGTACGTGAATGACATTTTTGAACTCCTTTGATTTTCTTGTATCTCCTCCTGCGTTGATGAATTCAAAATGTTGTCTCCTAATCTCGCCAAAAGTTCGAGGACTTCCACAGTTTTGGAGGTTTAAAGACGAAACATCACACCAACAACATAGGTATTTGCTGCTATGGGATTGAATGCCACACAGAATATTTGCCAACTTTAGGTCACATTATATGACTAGAGAATCCATCTGACATTTCTCTTGTACTCGGATGAGGTCAAAAATTGCCTTCAGATTATGGTAGTTCTCTGGAGTGTTTTGTGCAATTGCTACCAGTAGTTGCTGCTTGACACTTGTTGATTTAGTTGTTTGTGGAGACATCAATTTGATTGTTTTCTGCAGTGGGCTATGTGGCGGTGTCTCATCTTCATCCACAATGATGTGTGTGAAGCTGACTTTCAAAAAAGATCCTCCACCATCAATCCCTAGTTTCAAAATTGCAGAATCTGTCATCTTTCTTGATGCTAAGAAGACATCACTAAGACTACTGAGGTTTTGACAATGCAGAACTTGGGATATTTGATTGTTTTCAGCAAGAGTGATGCTGCTCACAGTGAAGTGATCACAAAGTTTTTGGCCTGCTTGAGCAAATTTTTGCTGAAAACTTGGCTCCACCAATCTGATAGGACTGATTTGATTTAGTGCCGATCCAAGTTTTCTCATCCCATTGTTTGAAAGTCCTATATTCTGCTGAATTTGAACCATATTCTGCGTTGTGAGAGGCTCTTTGAAAAGTTGCTGTGCTGATGAAGGTCCTAATTATAAAAATTGCATTTAAAAAATAGTTCATGACCTTCAAAAAATATTAAAATTTTTCAAAAACTTACCTAATTTAAAAATAAAATTTTCTCTGCAAATATATTTGCAGAGAAAATTTTATTTTTAAATTAAGTAAGTTTTTGAAAAATAAATAGATAATATTTATATTTTAATTTAATCATTTAAAGTTCAAAAGCACTATTACCTTTTCTCAATGGCAATAACTTTCCACAAGGTTGACTGAGTCTGATGGTGCCATGAGGAGATGCACTTTTTGATGCCAAAACTGTTGCTGCAACTTGCTCTGCACCAATGGGATCAGAGGCAGCCATTCTTCTCAAATTTTCATGGCGTGTTCCAGAAAGTGCAGTAGTGAGGAAGCCCACAACCAATAACTGACAAGCACTTAGTACAATGCTTTTCTGCATTTTGCGAAGATTGTTGGGGAACTTTTGGTGCTGAATCTTGAACCTTGCTTAATGGATGCCTTTCTTTTCCCTTGAGTTTGGCAATCTTACAAATCAAGCACTCACAGACTGTAGAAAAACGAGTAAGAGGCTTGATTGAAATTGATTCAAAGTCATAAATCTGAGGCACAACATTTGTTTTACCATCGCACAGCTTTCCAATGTGAGATCTGCAGGAGATGCAGGTCGCCAATGGTACTCTGTCATCATTGAAGTTGATTTCTTTCTGAATTTGTTGAAGAATTTTAGCTTTGAAGTTTTTAGTCAATTCTTGATCACCTTTCTTCATACAGAAAACACAAACAGATTTTCTACATTCTTCATGGTTTTTGGCAAATGTAGGCATCTTTAAATTCTTAAATATTTCTTTACAAAAAAATATGTTTTTCTTCAAAAACTATGTTAAAGTGTACTGCCTTTTCCCCGAATATATTTGTTTACTCTTTTCGTTAGTTTCGAAAGTTCGATTTTACGCTTGCACTGATCAAAACGCTCTATAAAGAATTATTCCAAAAAAATGAATAAAATAATTAACATTTTACGTTTCATGGGCTACAATCTTTATTTTATAAAAAAAATTAAGGGAGCAAGTTTAGTACCATTAATAGGCAGCTTAATTTAGCTCATAAATCAACCCTTTTAAAAAACCTTCATGATCAAATAATTCTTTTTGATGTTAATACCCGATTTCAAAACAACTCAATATAGACTCCCATTGGCATGTACTATCCCCCCTTAAAAGAGTTTTCATAGGGTATTTCATTGATATTAGGGTCCCAAATTTACAAACCGTGGCTTCATGGCACTTTTTTTTATATGATACATTAATACTTCATAACAATATCAAATAGCATAGGATTATATTTGTTGTCAAGCACAACCCTTGCATTGGTATTTTTTGTATAGCAGTTCCATAACGACTTGTATTTTTCCAATTATTTTGCAATCATTTATTTTAACGTGCATAAAAACTGCATATTATGTGAGGTTTATAAATACCAGTGAATTACAAACTAATAATAACCAGTTTAAAAGTTCATTAATGCCAGTTGAAAGTTAGTTAACAAGATCTCTATAGTTTAAAAACTTTTGATTCAAACCACCAAAACATGCTCGTACGAGTAAAAAAGTAAATAAAAATTAATGTCTAGTGGGAATTTCAATTGTGTTATTGTGAATAATGAATTATCCACATTACCCTTTCCCCCCTCCTCTCTCTTTCTGTATCCACACCTGTTTTCTAACATCTGAAAGTTTAAATGATTTTTCTAAAGATGAATTAAATACACTTTTTAATTAAGATAGCATCACACACTTCCCCAAATCCACTGATGAATTTAAACAGGAGTTTTTGCAGAACCATATCGAGCATAAGAACATAAAATCATAAAAAGATTTACAATTTGCCCAACGGTTGACTTGCTAACTGCTATAACTCTGCTAGTTCTCCCCCTCCGTCTAATGCACAATTTTTTTTTTTGTTAAGGACTATTGCTCGTTACACATTTAAAGCTTTCAACAAAGTTTAGAATGCTGGTCTTCTCCATAAGCTTGTTTCATATGGTGTATCTGGGTAAGCTTTTGAGATTATCAAAACGTTTTTTTTTTAAAAAAAAAACTCATTCTCGCTTGACTCGTCATTCAGCAATGTCTCATTCTTTTACTGTATCTGTCCCTGTATGCTCCAAAAGCTTTTCTTCGTATTGTTTTTTTTCCCGCACCTCAAACCTCTGAAACTCTCTTCCATCTTCATGATTTCTTGACTCATACAACCATCAACTTTTCAAGTCTTCTGCCAACCGTTGCCTTGCTATATAACTTTATTTTTTTGAGTAACTCATAACTTAATAGTGGCGGCTTGCCTTTTTGGGAATGAATCAGAATTAAAAAAAAAAACAAAAACAAATTCTAGTATTTCATTATCTCCATAAATGCTAAAATAGAGTTAAATACTTTTGTAGCAACATTTGCAGAATGTTATATTATTGACCTGTTATATTAATATTTTATTATTATTATTAGTAGAGTAAAGTTTGATTAGGCTAGTTTTGCTAGTCTTCTTTTGCTTTCTTTTCTAAAATTCAAAAAATAATTTAGTTGTTTAGATTATAAACCTAATAAGTGCATAAAACGTTTGCTTTAATTTATATATAAAACATTTAAATATCCATATGACCAAATTCTTCCTGTCATATCAATAATACACGTTTTAACATTCAAACCATTCCGGCTTCTGTAACTAAAGTTATTTCTCACTTATATTCTTTCAAACCTTGTTATCTAGACAACATTTCCATTGTAGTTTTAAAGATGTGTTTTCCAGAGCTCTCTATGTTTCTCTCTAAACTATTTAACAACTATTTAACTAAATTTAGCTTTCCTACCTGATGGAAAATAGTTTCAATTCTTGAAAAACTCTAAAGATCGTTTTGACCCTTAAAACTATTTCCCGATAATTTCCCGATAATTTCCCGATAATTTCCCGATAATTTCCCGATAAGTCTTATTATTTTAATTTTATTATGAGCAAAGTATTAGAATTTTTAATTAAATAACTTTTAAAATTTTGTATAATGTATAAATATTCATAATTTTAAAAAGTGGTTTTGCATGTTCTCTTTTATTTTTAAAATTCATTATTCTTAAAGCATGTTTTTGTTTTCAATAAAGTATTTCTAGTTTGTCTTTAAGCAATATTTTTTATAGTTTTGCTTCAAGCAATATATGCTTAATTTAAGTAACCTTGAATAAAGCTGAAATATATTTGTTTTAGGTGATGTTTGTTTAGGACATACCTTGACTGATATAGAATTCTAATACTTTTTGATATTTTGTTGTCAATATAAGCAATATGTTTGTTCCAGGATATATTTTCGTCCATGAACACACCAAGAAATCTTGTCACTCTTTCACAACTAATTTCTGTGTTTTCAATAATTAGTTTAGGAATTGCAATTTTTTAAACTTTATTTAAAGGATGAAATAAATAGAACTTTGTTTTATCCGAATTAATTGAAGTTTTGTTTGCTTTAAACCCTTGTTGAGATGTTTAATAGTTTCATATTATAACCTCTCAGCGTTCAAAAAATATGACCAGATAAAATTTACAACCCCCTGAAGCTGAAGGGCAATTTTTTACAAAACATCCTTATTTGACATGTAATTAGGTATAAACATATAAATTTTTGGTGTTTGTATAAAAAAATATGTCGTATTTGTCTTTGTATTAAATACTGTTATCATATTTGGTCTAATTTTTTAAAATAATTTTTTGTTATTTTTGTTTACAGCCTTTTTTGAAGTGGATATTTTTTTTTTAATTAAAATTTCCACAAGAAAAATAAATAATAACAAACTCGTTGTTCGACAACGTTGCGTTGTATATATGTTGCATAACATATGTAATGATTTACAAATACCAATTAAATGTTGACCAGCTGTTAGGCAGTAGTTAGAGCTTTGGAATAAAAAGAAGGTAACACGAGCATGTTCAATTAAACACAGTATTTTTTTATTAAATTATTTTATTAATTTCAATAAAAATAAATACAAAAGTAAAAATTATTGTTTTTGTAATATTATTTTGCAAGTTAATATTTCAAAGTAAAAACAAAATATATATATTATTTTAAAATAAATAGTTAATGTGCTTTATTCAAAGAGTTTTCCCTTAAAAAATACTCTGCCGTTATTGGTCGCAAAGTATTTTTTCTGCTTCCGCTTTTTAAGTCTCTTTTTATCTCTAGCGCGATGTTAAAATTTTCAAGTTTTGTTTACACATTTGCTTTAAGCACCGGCGTTACCTCAATGCAATTATGCGGTAAATTTCAATAGTTATTTTTAGAAAAGGAATCGCGGCGATTATTTACGATTGCTGTATTTAGTTAGACCATTGTAAAGCGATTTTTTTTTTTCGATTACGATTTGCCGCTAACTTATTGAAATGCAACCTTTTTCCATTTACGAGCACAAAAATTGCAGCAATAACAATTAAATCTTGTTTTATTCGTTATTCTCTCAATACACCACAATTTTATTAAAAAATCGCTATTTTATAGGTACTGCTTTGGAACATTTTCAGTTTGTTGGAGCACTGTATACACGATGCACAAAACTCTTTTCTACCATTGGTACCTTAAATTGATTAAAATTTTTTTGTGAAGTTGAAAGATAAGGTTCACCATTTTGAATTTCTATAATTTATTAGAGATAAACTTAGCAAATATATTTAAAATAAGTTTCTTAGTGTATCCTTTTTTTTATACCCATTAAAACTAATAACAATTGCGTATTGGTTTTGCCAAATTCAGTTTAATTATAGCAAATAGGAATAATTTTTCCCATTAATGATCAATTATCTGTATTATAGCAGACTAATTACTATTACGAAAACTATAAGTCATAAATCCGATAAATCGCAAAAATAGTCCAAAAATTTTTTAAAAATCGACGATGCGATAAATTGTGGAGCGATTTTTATAGAGAAAACCGTCGGGCGATATATTGCACATCAATTTTTATTTAAAATTTTTATCGCGATGTGATTCAATGCGATTTTTTATCACTTTTTTATAGCATAATTGTAAAAAATCGTTTATGTGCTAACCGCCAATGCGGTAAAGTCAGTGCTTAATTTGCTCAAGATTTTTTTTCAAATCTCACTTGACTAAATCAGATTTCATATATCAAGTCGATTTTCATTTGAGTTCGCTTCTTACATAGTTTAGTTTGTATCGCCTCGTTTAGTCAAAAAAAAAGATTCGGCGTTTCATTGTAATAAAAAAATGTTTATAAAAATGAACAAAGTAAACAAAAAGCCTCTATTTTTAATTTACATAAATAAAAAATGTTAACACAAGCAAAAATATATATGTGTGAGCTCGTGCACTTTTGCAAAAAATTTTGATAAAGAGTATTAAAACATTTAAAACTTTTTAATTTTTTTAAATTTATAAAAAAAAAAATTGTTTTCATTTTTACAATTAAATATTTTGTTTATTTCTACAAGTTGATTAACTAGCATGCTTTATCATACAAAAATACGCTTCCATATGATATTAAAGCATACAAATAATCAAACACGGCAAGTTTTAATAAAAAGATTGCATTTTGCAAGTGCAATCCGAAAGTTCGTTTTCCACTTGGTACGTTTTAAATGAGATCGCCGTTCTATAACGCATGTAATATCAGATATTGTAGATTTAAAAAACTATTGTTTTTTAAGTCATAAATCAAACCGCAACATCGAGCTGATTGCTATACCCATCATTAGTTACCCCTGTTCTTTCATTATCTAATAAAAATTATTAATTACGTGTTATACAAATATAATAAATAAAAGCAAATAATATAAATATATATTGAAATTTTAACTTATATATTCCTACAAATCTCAGTTTTAATATGCAATAACAGATACTTAGCCAGACATGAAATAAATATTTACGATTTTGCCACAAGAAAGATTTTACTCTAGGTTTACCTTCACCACAATTAATAAAAGGTTTTCCATTGGAGTTTTTCTTCTCTTAGATAAGTTGAGCCAACTTACAGGTAAGGCTGTTTACCACGGATAAGTAGGAGTTTAGGATTAACTTGTACAATAGGATTAATGAAGATGAATGTATTGAGCTATTTAAATAGAAGATTTCAGAATGTGAGCAAAAATAAGTTTTCGAACTGATGGAGGAAGTGTGGTTAAGAATACTAGGAGATTATTTCGTGAAAATCAACAGTCACGTTTTGAGTATGGTGTGCAACTGGCAGAAGTACTATTTCAAAAACAAGATTATGAAAATGAAAAAAGCAGCAGTTCTATAAAGATAGACAATCAGATACAGAACATAATTTTTCAGACAGCAAGTTTTATTAAAAGGCTCCAAGACTTGATGAAATTGCCTATTGAAAATGCTTCAACACATCTAATTATCAAAAAATTATGTTTAAAAAGCAAAAGTAACAGACATAAATTTACTTAAATGGAAACAGGGCCGTCCCGAAGGAGGGAGGGAGGAGGGTCCCACCCCCCAAAGCTGTCATTAATGCATTTGAGTTAGCATATTGAGCAAGTTTTGAACTATAGTTGGCAAATAGCAAATATTGAGGACCTTTTTTTTTTTTTTGGAGTTTCTAGTTGGCAAACCCCCCCCCCCCCCCATAGAAGACCTCCTCGGGACGGTCCTGAATGGAAAATATTTGGTTTTACTAAAAACGAGAATAAAATTTTTATCATCAATGCGCTCAATAAAAGCTTTCTAAAGCAACAATTAACCCCTTTGATAAAGTTGCCATACCTTTTATGTAATAAAGATTTGCTAACTTTTGAGTTAACAATCTGTTTCAATTACGGCGCTTCTCAAAATTGTTTCTAATTTTTCTGACTCTCTATCTAAACCTTTTTGTCTTTAAAAAACTTTCAATATTCAGAAAAATTTTAAAAAATTATTAAAGAAGTATATTTGCCCAGGATGATAATTCGATATATAATGATGTTGGCAAAAATTAAAAAAGAAATATTGTTGTTTAAAAATGTAGGTATGTATACCTCCTTATTTAAACAAGGTGTCTTTTTGCAAAGAAGGCATGATTTTTTAATGACTATTAAACCTACACCAGTCTAGATCTAAACAATTTTTGGTGTTCAAATTTTCTGAAAAAAAAAGTCTTTCGAGTGTGCTCTGCTTCAAAATGCATTTTGAAAATGACTACAAGTTATTACATATGCAAAATAAAAATGAAGTTCTTGTAACTTAATAGTTATATTATTAAACTAATAGTATATTATTAGTTGGCATTAGAAAAACAAAATAAAATCTCATTTCAAGACCTTAATAAAAAACCCCGATAAACCCCGAAAAAATAATACATTTATGTTATAGTTAATTATACAAATCATGTGTAAAATAAACAAACTTGTAACACAAAAAATTTTTAACTTATAAATATTACCAGCCAGTTCTCCAAAAACCTCATTCAAAGCCAACCCTCTTGTTTCTCTTAAAAGACAACAAGATACTCCGCTAATTATACTTAATGATCCCATAATAATATATGGAAGTGATTTGCTGTAATAACTAAGAAATTGTGATCCCCAAGGAGCTGCTGCTCCTCCAAAACGACTTATAGTTGATAGTAAGCCAATAGATTGATTCCTAAAAAAAACAGGCTTATTCTGGTAATTCACAAACAACTTTTCTTTTAATGAAATTTATTATAATTTGTAAATTTTAAATACCTAATAATTGTTGGATATAACTCTGCAGACCATATTGAAATGGCATCATATGATGCAGCAATAAATAATTTTCCAGTCAATGCAAGTGAAATGCGAGCCCAATTATGCACTACAAAATAAATAACAAGAAAAGCTTATATTAAAGTTATTAACCGGAAGATTTCGTACAATTCCGGAAAAATAAAATTTTTATGGAAGGATATTGAGAATTAGTAATTTTTTATTTCGTACCGAATTTTACGAAACAAAAAAACCCGTCGATGTTCATTTCGCAATGGCTTCTTACGAAATACGGCTTATAAAAACGGAATATAGCGTATAAAAACGAAATATAGCATATAAAAACGAAATATAGCATATAAAAATATATACGAAATATATAAAAAGTGAATTACGAAATAAAACTATTTGCTACATACGAAAGTAGCGCCTACGGAAGTCGCACTTGCAAAACGAGCTCTTTTGCTAAATGTGGTTTTGAAGTTTAAAATTTTGTTGGCCAAATTGATGTAATTGTAAAGTAAAATTTTTATAAACCAAAATGTTTATAATAAAATTCTATTTTCAGTGTTGCAGAATATAAATATTTTAGGGTTTAATTTTTCGAAATAATGATAAAAAAACTTTCTAAACATTTCTTATTGGAAAGAAACTTACGAAACGCGGCATATAAATATATTTAATTACGATTTGTGAATCAAATTCGTATAACTAACTAAATAATATAAATACTAATTTTTTATATGATATTAATAAGTTCCAGTTTTAAACTTTTATAAAAAAATTAAAACTTATCAAACATACTCTTTTTAGAATATCATTTAATAAATAAGAATAAAATAATATAAACAACTTGAGCAACCTGCGAATGCAATTTCGTAATCGGTCTTTGATGAAATCAAAAAAAGACCTAAATTATGTAATGAATGCTAAAACTTAGTTATAAAAAAAATTGAAACTGACTAAACATAAAATTATTCAAATAGAATAATTTTATGTTTAGTCAGTTTCAATTTTTTTTATTTTTGAGGTGCGCTTTCGCTACTTTTATTTTAGGGGGAAGTATGTAAGTCTTTTATCATCTTAATAACAACAAGGATATTTAAAAATATTTTAAAGTCATCCATTTCAATAATTTTTTTTAATACTTTCCTATATAAAAAGCAAAAAAAAAAGGACAGGGTAAGAAGGTGGAAATGGGCATTTGTTGCCTCTTGTACCGTTGGCCCTGGAGAATGTTTTAATTTTTTTTTTTTTTTAAACTTGTTTATTTTACAACTACAAAGTATTTGCAATTGACCAA